GACAGCACACCTCACCTTGTGTGTGTGACAGGCCCTGGGAAACACACAGAGGAAGGTGGGAAGCCACTACACTTAGCACGACGTTTAAAAACTAAGCAAGTAATACATGGAAAGAACATCTCTGTTGAGCAAGCATTCAAGACAGTCCGGTTGGTTTTTTACAAAAAAATCCCAAAAAACTATACTAATACTTGAAAACCTCTTTTCACATAATACGTGAAACATTTATAATTTGAGTCACCGTTAAAGAAGGCTGAAATAATACATGATAAACCCTGTTGTGACAAGCTGAACTGTATTTTGTGATGAGTAAGTACTTTTGGAGATACATGTTAAAACATCATTAAACATATGAAGCAGCAAGTATTGGCATGAATTATGCAGGGTAGAAGGTTTACTATCGAACTGAGTGGCAGTCTGGTTGCTGCTAACCTGTCTCAGCTCGTGGTTATTTGCTACATTCTCTTTTAATAACAAAATACACAAATATGTAGCTTTCTGCCTCTTGTTGAACATTAAAGGAAAAAGGTGTCAGGGAAGATACCTTCTCAACTGTAAGCGGCATCTTTAAAAATAATGTTTCAGTCATACAAATACATACAAAACGTTATGCTGTACACCAGAAACTGACACATTGTCAACTGACTATACTTCAATAAAAATAGTAAATAACTAAGTAAGTAAGTAAATAAATAAATAATAAAAGTACGATTTTATGGAGTATTATGTTTAAATAACCAGTAATGAAATAGGTAGATTCACAAACATTATTTCACAGGATTCCAAAGAAAACATACAAAGTAGCATATTTAAAATTCATTCATTCCTTGCCTCGTTTACTGTCAAAACAAAGAAGCCGAGCTCAGGAGCACATAAAGTTATAAGAATGTCACTAACACAGTTAATGTAAAAAAATTAAATGGTATTTAAAAGACAACTGAACTACAGTAGAAGCCATATGATGCATTTCAATGAGATAGAGCTTGACCACACAAAGCTTTTGTTTCACACAGAGGTTGTTAGGTATCTTGTGGCAAAGAACTAGCAAATTAAAGCTACTTTACACACATGCTTCATAAAAATAGAAGTGATCTAACTTTACTAACCTTT